ACGTTATCCCGGCTCTTTTCTTGGAACAGGCTAAACAAAAGTACTATAGATACTGGAGGGACGTCCAGAGGCTCTATAAATTCTTGTTGCCTACAGAAAATAACGTCGGCGTTTTTCCCTGTCGGGAGTATTATAAAAATAATAACAATATTTTAGCATGGAGCCCACTTCACCAAAAGTGCTCTTCAGTGGGGCCCTGCATATACTACATGTACAATTACCGATTAAACAAACACTACACATAATAATAGAGTAAAAGCTAGATTAAGAATAGAAACAGTAAAAAAATAATTATTGAAAACTTGTTCAAAAACTTTTTGAAAGCCTTAACATCCATATTTGAGCTTAGATTTAAAATACGAAAACATAAAGGTGTCACGTATATCCTGACTTAAAGAGCTCTAGTCTACTACGCTCTGATACATGAAACGTTATTTGCCCCAGTTCGTTTTTACACGAGGTAGGTGAAATCATTTCAGGAACGCGTGTTGTAATTCTGAGTTGCGTTATTTCTAAAAAAATGAAAATGAAAATCAATAAAACCATTCAAACACTTGAAGATTGTTGTACGACGATGGAAACGCCGCCTAAGATACAGTGGCTTCCAACAAAGAAAATCAAGAGCTCCGGAAGCAGAGGATTTCGGATGGCGATCAAGAATTATCTTGGAAAGTTTGTTTTGAAAATTGTGTGTTCGTCAACCTTACGTAGTTTAGAAAGCAAACTTTGATGAAGCAACTAACAGTGAGAAAAATAACTCGGAAAACCGGTCATTTATGTAACCTTCATACGCCTTTAGCTCAAGTTCCGCAGCACAATAACGACTTAAAATTCAGTTTTCTTTTCTATCTGGAGACATTTCAAATAAAAGGATGTGAAGCGATGTAGAGATGATGAATATATTGGATTTTAAAAGCTGTATCTAATCGTAAAACAGTCACTTCGAACTTCGGACTGCATATCAAGAAACAGTTGAAAGTCTCACCATATCCCGTGGGATTGAATGACCACAGCTGTTTGGACAAGTCACTGGAAACTTGCTGCACTCCTTAATATGCTCCTACGAATAAGCATCCAATAAGTTAGTAATGTACAGAGTTTAATACACCATATTATTTGGAAGTTAGGTGTAGCGTCTTTGATAACTCGGAGACACACAAGAACGTCATACGAAATGAGCAAAATAAACGTAAATCACACTTGAACTGATTTTAATCAAAGATGACTCGGACACACAAAACACACCGTGTATATGCACATGAAATATCCTTATAATTCATTTAGCTTAAGCAAAATATCATTACATCCCCTTCAACGAAAAGAAACTATATGAGGGCTTTTCTTTTTTAAAGTAAAACATACTATAAAAAGCAAAATATAACTTGCGATAAAAGGCATCTAGTGATAGAAAACAAGTTAACCTTGTCCTCAAGTCATTTAGACGATCAATTAAGAATCATATCTGCTCAGTCTCTAAACCACTCGTCCACTTCCGGTGACAGTAACAGGGGCTGCTTAATGTCACTTTGTCACTTGACAGGGTTTAGATCAGGAGCAAGCAGCCTTGAGGAAGTTGGTAGCAATGCTCTAGTTCTCCGGGAAAAAAAGTTGTTGGGCGGGTGAACTTCCAACTCCTTCGGTTGGAGTGTTCCGATAATTCAGGAGAGAGAGATTTGGATCAGTTCCTGACATACGGGCCTTCTTCATGATGTTCCACTAACTGCATTTTCGACTTTACCATTTTAACTGTGGATACCGAGGGGAACTTGCACTATGCTCAAACTCTTAGGCCAATGAAAACTCATGGAAATCTCTCGAGTTGGAAGGAGGTCCATGGTCACTAATATGACTTATAACTTCAAAGTCAAACAGGTCACATCCAACTTTCTGCCAAGGTCTGCATGGTATTTTCGTGGCTATCATTGGCTCTTTCTGTTGGTTAGTTTAGAAATTCTGACACACAGCACAGCTTCCAGCTACCCCTGGCATGGCCTCGTAGTCTAATGGACACAAAACTCAATGTATCAACACTTCCTCTAAAGGAGATAATTTCTTGCCAGAAAGACATCCGCCTTTGAGCCACTAATCTGATCTTGTTGGAGGTAAACTCTGCTGAGGGTATCAGCTAAATGGAAAAGGGTTCCTTTCTTGTACTCGGGCACCTCAAAGTCAAAGTTCTGCAAACGCAGCATCATTCTTTGGAGACGTTTAGGGGCACTCAACCGAACATTGACTCTTCTTGAGAATAAACTCCAATGATTTATAGTCAGTTTCCACTCTAAACTTTCTATTATAAACATACGTCTCAAACTTGTCAACGGCAAAGACTATAGCAAATAGCTCCTTCTCAATCTGGTTGTCCACCTTTCATCATGCAGGCACCTATTAGCTATGCTGAGAAGCATCACATTGCAACACAACTTCTTCTCTTGGATCATAGAACTTTACCAGGTGCAGAAGCAATAACAGATTTGGCTTTCTTGACTTTCTTCCCAGACAAATTCAGCACTTAGAACACTGGTAAGCTCTGACAACCCACTGGTGCAAATTTCTGCAAGTGGTTAATCGTCCCCAAAACTCTTCGAAGACTTCCCTTGGTTTAATCACGATGGATCAAAATATCAAACCCTTAGACATTTGGTAAGATCCTGGCAAACAATCGAGATTACGGTATTAATATTGATATTCTGATATAATCATGATATTATTATGATATATCAAAATATCAAACCCCTAGACACATAAGCAGATCCCAGTAAACATTTTAGATCACGATAGTGGTATTGATGTTTTGATGTTATCATGATATTTTGATATTTTCATGATACATCAAAGTATCAAACCCCTTAACACATAGTCAGATCCTATAAAACTTTTGAGATTATGATTGATATCACTATTTTGATATTATCATGACATTCTGAAATTATAACAATTAATATTGAAATATCAAACCCCTATAGACACTTGGATCCTTACATACATTTGAGATATATCAAAATATCAAACCCTTAGACACAAAGTCAGATCCTAGCAAACATTTGAGATAATTATATTGATATCAATATTTTGATATTGTAACGATATTCTAATATTATCATGGTATAACAAAATATCATATCCCTGGATACTTAGTCAGATCATAGCAAACATTTGAGATAATGATATTTTGATAATATCGCGATATTCTAATATTATCATGATGACGCGATTTTCTGGTATTATCATGATGTATTATGCTTAGTTTATCAGTAGGAAAATTAAAATACCATATAGTCTTATCAAAAAAGATAAATCATGATATTATCATAAAAAATCTGCAAGAAATGTATGAAAGAATTGCTGATATAACAAAAATGATGGCTAGAATTGACATAATTATGATATTCTGCAATCTGCCTGGCATACTCCTCCACATGTAACTTTGGACAACCGATTCAAAAAATCAATTCACATGCACTGACCAGCTGCTCAACTATTATGCAGGTGAAAACTTCCTGCCACCAAGTTTTGTCTTTGATAAGTTGGAGAAACACAAGAAGGCCAAGCAAAATGAGGAAAACAAACATACAATCACACTCAAACTCAATTTAATCAAAGATAACTTGAACACTCAAAATACCTCATTTACATGCATACACAGTTAGCTTTTTGTTGATATAAAAATCATTCTTATTCGATGTGTAAGCTCTCAATTCTATCTGATAAAACATTAAAAGATTTCCTTGTAAGACGTGCATTATATGGCATCTGAAAATGTTGTAGAAATTGCTCTGTGACTATCACAATGTACATACCAGCATTCGGCATTCTGGATGGGGTTCAGTGCAGTAGGTACACTGAAGGATTCTCCAGGGACACTCATTGTTTTCGTGTTATTTAAGATGTCTTCGTTGGACTCTTTTGTGACAGTTGATGTTGGAACACAGCACTCGTTGAAAAGGACAAGATCCCAAGTGGACCTATTCAGCAAAGTCATCATGATAACAAGGAATGTCAGTTAGAGCTAACTGGCTCACAGTAATCTTCCTCGCCCTATTGCTTGGTATTTATTATCCCACTGTCACTAGGTCTATTCTTCTCCATGCAAAAGCTAAAGTAATATTATGAAAAAGGAGATTTGGAAAGAAGATTACATTGACAAAAGCATTCATTAACACTGAGCAAAATGTTAAATAGTTTTACCGTCTTGGTCCTCAGTTCCCCAGTCCATTCACAACCTTCACTAGGACATTTGATTTCCAGAGAAAGTATCCTCCTTTCTGTTGCTTTATCAGGGAAAATGTCCTAGAACACAATCACAATAACCTTGGTCTTATGTTAATGATCAGAAAACAGGTCAAATTCTAAAGTTTAAATTGAACTGAAATTAAAGTAAACAATGATGATCATGCAGGAGCTTTGTTTGATTGAACAAGTGCTTTTGTCTGCTCATAAGGGATAACAAACCTAAAATTATGATATTTGAAAAGGAGATAAGTAAATTTATAATGTACAATTACCAGTAAACTGAAATTTATTTTTATGAAAATTACTAAAAAAGGGAAAACATGGGTTTTATACTTGAACTGTTTATAATAATAATAATAATTTGTATAGTGCGAATTCCATACAATGTTCAAATGCGTTTCACAATAAAATAAGACTTAAATTTGCAATAATAGTTCAAAACTTTTTAAAGGTCAAAGGAAAAACATCTGGATGAAGCAAACCACCCATAAGGTTTAAGATGCTTCAAGGGTTATTTACCCGTTTAGGATGTAGAGTCCACCAGTCAGTCGGACAAGTTAAAGACTGGTTTTGACTTCGCTTCCTGTGAGAAAAAATCGATAGTCAAAGACTGCATGGGGCTACTAGTGTAATATTCTTGATACAAAAACATGATGGATTTTGATAAGTTTTAATTTAAAAATCCAACCTCTTTACAAAAGGATGCTCATGTGTTCTCTACATGTGCATGTCTATAACGTGTAATACCGCTGATCATTACAACTAGTAAAGCACAATTTTTGTAGCATTGAAAAGAACCAGAGGTTATGTAATAATGACTCTAGAGGGTAAAGTTGCAGAGTATTTGTCTCACATGCAAAACAGGAAACCTAGCTGCAGCATCCCACATGTTTATTAGTACCCTATTCCGCAAGAGAAAGATGATTCAAGAATATATTGCCTAATTGACATTCAACCAATAATTAGATGGTAACAAATGATAATATTTACAATAAATGTAATGATGACAAAGGTAATGTAATAGTAATAGTAATTCAAAGGGGCTGCTCTAAAGCCTCGTGGTTCCCCTATCCTCTGGGCTCCAACAATGATTACCTATGCTTCTTTTAATTTTGCCAGTTAATAGGAAATAATTTTTGTATCTTACTACAATTGTCTTTTTGAGACTTCTGTTTCATGATGTTCCATCATTCCTTGTCTTGAAAATTTTCCATCACTCCAACAACCCACCATTCCATCATTCTCTTGAAAAACTCAAGGTATCATCTTTTCCAGCTTAATTGCCTGCTATGCATAGTTATTGCTCCAGAAAAATGCTCTCTTTTCATAAAAACAAGTTTTCCTCAAAGCTTACATAATGTGTAGATCATGTCTACTGAGATATTTCTGCAGGGAAAAGTTTTGAATTCAATCATGTGCTGGTGGATACCACAATCAAATTATTTTGAGATGTTTATCTTCTTTTGCAGTGTCACGTATGGCAAGAACTAATGAGAATATATCTCTGGATCTACAGAATTTAATGACTGCAACTGTAAAATTCTCTCTCTTCTAAGAAAAAATTTCCCCAATTTTTACGCTAATCACACTAATAAAGATATATTTGCAAAGAAAACTTTTGCTTTAAATCAAACAACCCTGAAATGATTGCGATGCTGTTATTGCTTTCTGCTGTCTTCCATAGTCTCTGGCTAGAAATGAAATCAAAATGTGCTAGTGGCTATTATCCAGAAATCACATAGGGAGAGAATTCAACTGCGTATTAGGTGCAAATGTTGAACTACTAAGATACTCTGAAAAAAAAAATATAAAAAAACAATAAGTAGCACCAGAAAAAATTGGTTAAAATTTGGTTCAGATCCAAATCCAATTGTTACACTCACCTCATTCATCTCGACAACATATGTGGCTGGACCTCCTAGAGGAGGCAGTAGCCACAAAACTTGAGTTTTAAAAATAATATTTTTTTGGGTTAAAGATTTTCCTTTTTTGCTGCAAATATTTTATTTT